GCTCAGTTTTTGTCAGGAGTACTGCAGTTTTTCCGTTCTCCCAGGCGTTAACCTTAGCTCCTCATTCTCTCTCATCCTGTATATTCAGTCAGATGCTAAACCTTGTCATTTCTACGGCTTTGTCGCCCCATCACCTCTCTCACAGCCTCCCCCTGCCCATTCAGGTCCTTCACACAGTTGCCAAAATGACTTCCCTTAAGCACATTTCTGACCTTGTGACTTATTCCCTTGCCCGTTGAGCACTGGTGACTCCTTGTTGCTCTTAGGATCCGGTATAAACTCCCTGTTGGACTTTGAAAGTCCTTTATTATCTGGCCCCAATCTGCTTTTCCAGCCGGATTGTACATTACTTCTCTTTCTGCCTTATGGAGTCCAGCCTCTCTTGACCATGAACATGACTGGAATAAACTCCCCCTTCTTCAGAGTTACGCAGCTCTCCATGTATCTCAAAATCCCATCCACTTTTTTTTTTTAAATTGCATTACTTTGGGACCTCTCTAACTTCACCTACTCCAGGAAGCTCATTATGGGGAGATCCTCACCATCCTGCAAGATCCCATCAGCCTTGGTCTGACGTGCTCCTCATGAACTCCAAACCCTCTATTTTGGGAGGGAGCTCGGCTCAGAACACCACCTCATTTCTCACATGGCTGCACTACTTTGGGACTTCTTTGACTTCACCTTCATGCCTCTTTTCAACTTCTTGTCGGGTTTTAAATTGTAAACTTCTTGAAGGCAGGGACCGTCTTTTTTCATCTTTATGTCTCCAGCTCTTAGCACAGAGCCTCAAATATAGTAGGCACTTAAGAAATATTTATTGACTGACTGACTTGTGAAGTTGATTTCTTGTACCCAAATGAAATGCTTCACATTTATCCACCTTGAATTTCATCTTAGATTCCATCCAGTAATCCTTTTGGATCCTGTCATCCCAGGTGTTAGATATCTTTCCCAGCTTTGAGTTATCTGCAGATTGGATAAGCTTACTGCCTGCGTCTTTATCCGAGTCATTGATAAGAAAGATAAATAGCACCGGGCCAAGCATCAGTCCCTGGGAGTGTCCTTAAACATTGTAATCTTCCTGCCCTGTTGACATTGAACCAGTAACTGTTCTTTGAGCCTGGCCACTTGAACACTAGGATTCATCGTCTCTATAATAATAAGGGGAGATACTTCATCAAAACCTTTTCTAAGACCTATGTAAACGATAAGAGCTTTCCTGCCATCTGCTAGCTTGGTAACCCTGCCTGGAAAGGAAATGAAGTTCCTCTAGAGTGACCTGTTCTTGATGAGGCCAGACTGGCTCTTGGTCACGTCTGGGTCCCGTTCTAGCTGTTTTACCAGCCCCCTTTTAAATGAGCCCTTCTTTCTAGAGTTTTCTCAAGAATTAAAGTCATGCTCATTGGCCTTTAGTTTGCAGTCTTTGTTTTCTCTTTTTTTTTTGGAAATTGGGACGTTTCTCCAATTTTGTGGCCCCTCTCCTGTTTTTAGTGATCTTTCCATTGTCCCTGCCAAGTAGCTCATTAATGCCACCTGCCAGTTCTTTTAGCTACAATCAGAGAAGGTGACTGGAATTTATAGAGGGTGGCTAGATGCTCTCTTGCTCTCTCTTTACTTATCTTGGGTAATGGTAATAGCTAGTATTTACAAATCTCCTATTTAATCCTCACAACAACCCTAGGAGGTAGGTGCTGTTATTTCCATTTTGCAAATACTGAGTCAGGCAGACAGAGATGCAGTGGCTTGCCCACTGTCACTCAGCGGGTGAATATCAGAGGCTGGATTGGCCCTTTCAGTCCTTTTTGTTCTGTCATTTCCAAGGTAAAGGTCATTGCAGAGAAGAAAGAAGCCTTTGAGCTGGCCTACCTTCTCTGTTAGTTATCACCCACCCTAGGCAAGGTTCCACCCCCTTTTTGTCCTTTTTTTCTCCCAATAGAGCTAAAATAACCCAGACCTCTTTTGTTGTCCATCCCTTTCCTGGCCATCCTGAGTTCATTGAAGCTGTAGCATTCTAGACACTGTTCTTTTTTTTTTAAGCAGTTGGAGTTAAGTGACTTGCCCAGGGTCACATAGCTAGTAAGTGTCGTGTTTGGTCTGAGGCTGGATTTGACCTCAGGTCCTCCTGACTTCAGTGCTGGTGCTCTATCCACTAGGGTGCCACCTAACTGCCCTTTAGACACTTTTTTTATACAATTCTTCTGAAAAAGATCTGGGGATTCTAGTGGACAACAAGCTCAAGATGAACCAACAATATGATACATTGGGTAAGAAGGATAATGTAATTTCTGGCCACACGAATGGAGGCGTTGAGCCTGGGAATGGGACGGTGTCGTTAGCCCTGCAGTGGCCTTCCCTGCTCAGAACACATTTGCTGTAGTGAATTCAGTTTGGGGCATTTTAGGGACATTTATAAGTGACCAGTATGATGAAGGGCCTCAGCTTCAGACTCTCTAAGATTTGGTTGGAGAAACTGGAGGAGAGAATACTTAAGTAAAGCAATACAGTAGCTATCTTCAAGTATTTGGGGGGTTGACCCGTAGAGTGGATTAACAGCAGTTATAATGGCTAGCACTTATAGAGCGTTTACTATGTGCCAGGCACTGTGCTGAGTGCTTTCACGAGTATTATCTCATTTGGTCCTCACAGCAGCTCAGGGATGTAGGTGCTATCATGATCCCCGATTTACAGATGAGAAAACTGAGGCAAACAGAAGTTAGCGACTTGCCCAGGGTCACACAGCCAGGCTGTGTGTGAGGCTGGATTTGAACTCAGGTCTTCCTGACCCCAGGCCAGGTGCTCTATCCACTGCCACCTAGGCTGTTTGTTCTTTTTGGCTACAGGGTTTCAAAGAGGCATAGGGACAGGCTTCTTTGCAATTAGAACGGTGCACAGCTAGGTGGCATAGTGCGTATAGTATTAGGCCTAGAGTCTTTCTGAGTTCAGATCTGGCCTCAGATACTTAACAGCTGTGTGACTCTAGGCAAGTCACTTCACCCTGTTTGCCTCAGTTTCCTCATCTGTAAAGTGAGCTGGAGAAGCAAATGGCAAACCACTCCAGTGTCTTTGCCAAGGGAACCCCAAATAGGGTCACAGAAAATTGGACACAACTGAAAAATGACTGAACAACACAAGTGGCATGGGCCCCCTCAGACAGGTTTGCCCTCACTGAGGGTTTCGGGCCAAAGCTGCGCAGACACTTGTTGCACATGTTGGGGAGAGACTAATTTCAGGCCTGGGCTGAACCAGACGGCCTCGGAGGTGTTTGTGATTCTAAAAACATTCTCAGCCCCATCTTCTTGCTCTTTCATACCATGTTGACTAGCTAAAATTGGATCCTATGTTGTTTTGTCCAAACCTAGAATCAAAAATTACCAAGATCAGATTTTGGCATCTATCACAATTTAAGATTTGACCATTGGCTTTAGTTATTGAATCCCTGGATTGTCTCTAAATTTGGCTGGGTTTTTCTTAACGATAGTTTTTTTTCCCCCTGCTACCTGCTGAAGAGCTGAAAATAGTATGACACCTTAGTAATAGTAGTCAGAATTAGCAGAATAGGACAGGCAGGCAGTGCTCACCCTGTTTGGCACAGAGCTCTGTGGGTGTATAAGGTCAAGCTTCTGCCATTTCTAAAATTAGTGGGCAACCACGGCCCAAGTGATGCCAGATTGGAACCATTGAAGTAGGTTACATACACACATTTGTACATTAATGTATATATGTATGTATGTATGTATGTATGTATGTGTCTGCCTAGCAGATTTTTGTAAAGGGCATAAGGGAGCGCTGATCCACAGAGAAGGGAGCTAGCGCTTAAATCAAATGTCTGATAGAGTCCTCATTTAGAAACAACAGATTTACAGATTCCCCATCCATACGGCAGCTTTGGGCCTCTGTGCCACTTGCTGCCCCGGATGAGTGAATAATGGGTGGTTAAATGTGAAAGTGTTTGCTAAGTGTGTGTATGTGCTCAGCACTGTGCCGTGGGAGTGTCTGGAAAACCTGGAGTTTGTAGGTTCAGGAGTTTAAGAAGCTTGAGATAGGAAAACCAGCTTATGTACCCAGCTTGTCTACTTCTCTTTTTCCCTGCTGCTTCTCCCTACTCGAATGTTATTTTATTTTATCAGACTGTAACATGTCCTGAACATATTAGCCCTTTGAGCATTTGTTGAATTGTATTGTCTAAAGCTCTTCCAATTAACACCCCATTAGGATTAAGCATATTTTAAAAGATTGTAAATACCTGTTGTATGATTAAGGGACTGTTAGTCATTCACTCAGTTAGCAGTAGGAATTCACCCAATCAGACTGCTTTCCTTCTGATACTTTGCTGAGATCTTCTGTACTGAGGGACCGTGAGTTTTGATTGTGAGAGAAGAGTGAAAGTGGTAATTTTAAGAATGAGTACTTTGTGTAGGACAAAGCACAAGGCAAACTTTAGAGGGCCACATTGGGGAAGTTTTAGGCTGTCCTGAGAGTGTTGGGGACCTAGTGAAAGGAAGGCTGGAGGATAATGCAGAAAGGCAGAGGCCAGAGTGCATCAAAGACAGATTTTATTTGTTTCATAAATTTCCCCTCAAGACTGCTGTGTACTCATTTTTGGTATTCTTTCACATTCTCTTCTTTCTTCTATATTATATGGTCCACAGTTGCCCAGGGTAGCTGCATTATAGGTTGGGTAAATCTTTGTTTCGTGGGATACTTTGGGAGTATAACTGCTATAAAAATGGCACTTTTCTGGATAAATAGAGTCCATTTTCCAAACAGATGCATTTTAGGAACACAGCCTGTTCATGAGTTAGACTTTTAACCTTTACTGGAAATGTACAACATTGATGGCTGTTTAGTTCTGATTGACTGACTCACAGTGGAACAATGGAAAAATTCCAAACCATCTCCACAAAGTGGGACAGGTTGAAAGTTGGTGGAGTATCCCCATTCCCTGTTTTTGCTTTGTGCTTTTTTGAATAGAATTTTTAGTAAATTTCTATTTTTTTCAGAGTATGGTGTATGTGAAAACTTACGGAAGCTGGAGATTACCGGTGTGTCCTGTCGAGATGTCTACGCCAAACGTGAGTTAGTCCGTTTGTTATCATAAATATTTCTGTTGTGACAGTCTCTTTGTTGACTAAATTTCAGCTTTGAGTGATACATAAAATATGGTCCATGTTTGATAGTCTCATCTTTCCAGCCCTTCCACTTAAAGCTATTAGGAGTTTGTCACTATTTAAATGATATAACACTAGACTTGATCCTGAACATTATAGAACATTTGCTGCTTATCTTTCCCTTATGTTCATATTCCAGTTATGTAAGTATCCTTGTTTTTCAGCCTACCCTGGATAAGAAATTGTGTGCCTAGAAATCAAGGAGCTTGTGTATTGCACAGTCCTAGGATTACTTGGAGCAACAGCTGCTTCTGTTTTTAGTAATTTATGTTGTGATTTGGGGGCATGCTCTTTGATTCCCTTTCAAGGATCTGCTGCTTGTTTAGATTCATGGAGAGCCTTCCTTTAGTAGGCATTCAGCCCATGACTTGTTAGACTTTGGGTAGGATAGACTATAATCTAAAGGAGAAGTCTTCCATTTTTAGAAATCATTTAGCCATGGCTTTCTTCCAAACTGTGAAGCTGACCTTCAGAATCATAAGGGTGGGACCCTGGTGCCCATGATCAAGTCACTCTACTTCCTGGGCCTCCGATTGGACTGCAGCAGGGGTTCTTTAAGTTTTATCTAGCAGTTAGGGGGTGCCATCGTGCATAGAGTGCCGGACCTGGAGTCAAGAAGACTCATCTTCCTGAGTTCAAATCTGGCCTCAGACACCAGCTGTGTGACCCTGGGCAAGTCACTTCACCCTGTTTGCCTCAGTTTCCTCATCTGTAAAATGAGCTGGAGAAGACATGGCAAACCACTCCAGTATCTTTGCTAAGAAAACTCCAAATGGGGTCAGGAAGAGTTGGACACAACTCAAACAGCAGACCAAATTTCTTAAACTTTTGTGCGAGGCACAGTGTGGCAGTCTGACAAGCCCAATGATGGACCCCTTCTTAGAATAATTTTTTTTAAATATAAAAAATAAAATACTTAGGATTACCAAGGAAACCATTTATATAGAAATAGTTATTAAATTAAAAAAAATAATCCCACAAACAACAATTCACAGACCCTAGGACTAGATGATTTCCAAGGTCTTTTTCAACTCTGAAATTCTGTGATCCTTTTTTCCTACCTTTGCTTTCCTACAAGTGAAATTTCATGTAGACAAAAAGGCAAATAGCATCCTCACCGGCTCTGCCTTGTCTTAGGGCTGCTGTTCAAATATAGCTGGGAGCTGTTAAGGGGAACGGTGTAAGCTGTTATCAGTTTTATTTTTGCTGGGATTACTTTTTGGTAATAAGTCATCAATCTGAGGGAATGGGATACAGCAAAGAGGTTGCCTTTTTTGGCTGTTTTAAATTAAAACTTAACAGGTTGTTTTTTGTGAGGCAGAGTTTGGAACTTTGGGCATTATCTGTGATGGCAGACCTAACTGGGCACCTTAGCAAAAAAGGACTGTCAGTAAACAGAGTTGGGCACCAAATACCTTTGAAGACCATTCAGAATGGAGGCGGAGGAGGAGAGAGTTCTGCTCGTGTCACTCTGCATCAGTTTCTTCCCAGATTTCTCTGAAACTGTCCCTTTTGTTTTTTCTTATGGTGTAATAATATTCCATTACATTCCTAGGTCATAATTTGTTCAGCTATTTCCCTAGTTGATGGGCACCCCCTTAGTTTCTGGTTCTTTGTTATAGTACAAAGAGCTGCTACTCATATTTTTGTAAATATGGTTCTTTTTCTTTGATCTCTTTGGGGCCTCATAGTGGGGCCTTAAAGTCACTACTAGGGTCCGTGACTTTGGGGCACTAAGTTGTTCATACTGCTGTCCAGAATGGCTGGACTGATTTGTAGCTTCACTCACAGTACATTAGGGGTCTTTTTAGTCTCAGCCCCAGAGGAGGAGATAGAAAGGTAGAGGCAAAAATTCTACGTCTTAATTTTGTTAGTGTAAGGAAGCTTTTGTAAAGCGATCACAAACAGCCATCTGGAAGCTGTTTTGGCACAAATTTTGCCATGTGTTGACGTTTTATCCAAGATTCTGCTCCTGAGCAGATCAGTTTTCCATAGTTAATATCAGGAGCAGACTTGCCCCTGTGCTGAAGGTTCTCCTCCCACAGCCCCCAGGATAGAAGACCTGCCACTCCCCCAAGCCTTTTTGTCAGGAAAAAAGTGCAGAATCATCCGGCCCATGGAGCTGTTTTCTAATTACAAAGACCTGCAGTTCAGACACACTAGCCGTGTAAGTCATCTGTTAACCACAAACTAAAGTGAGCAGCATTTAGGGGAGCATTGGGCCTGCAGGCAGAGGGCCTGAGTTCAAATTCCATCTCTAATGCTAGTTACTTATGTGATTTTGGGGAAAGAGAATGAGCATTGATAGAGCACCTGCTTTGTGCCAGGTACTTAGCTAAGCACTTTACAAATTTTCTCTGGTTTGGGGGAAGTAATTTCCCCTTTCTGGCCTCAGTTTCCTCATTCCTCTATAGGGGCTTCACCTAGGATCCTTTCCAACACTAGGTCAGAGTAGACCTCTGGTCAGTGGCTGCTTGTTGCAGGGGAGCTGATGTTGCCATTCGTGCCTTTCATGCCCTTACATTGTAAGGAGACTTGAGTAATTTTTAATCCTAGTCTCTCAAGTGGATAAATTGATTATTCTGTTGATTTCCTATCTTCTTGAAAACTCTTGGGATTGAAGGAAATTATGTACCCCAGACTAACTCAGGGCAGTGTGCTCCAGTGATAGAGGACAGACCATATAGTTAAAAGTGAGTTTTCATCAACTTCCTCCTATCATTTTTCATGCTGTTCCTGTAGTGTGCCATTTGTCCATAACATGCGGTCTTCCTTCTGTTCCCTAACTTGAGGCTGTTGCTTTCTTTGGGGTGGTTCTCACTTCTTCTGGGGCTCTGAGTGGCTTTTCCCTGTCCTCCCTCCTGGGTGCTTCTGCGGTCCTGCTGGCTAGCTTCTAATCTCTGGTCACATTCCAGGGACACTCTCAGTTCTCCGCTGTTCCCCTTCCCTTTCTGCTAAGACTTGGAACCTCTGGCCTCTGTAGCTTTCCACCCATTCCTGATTTCCTGGCTCTTGTCTGTGTCCATCCTGCTTTTTGTTCCCAAACCGCAAGGCAATCCTGGCCTGCCCGAAGTCTGCTTCTTACACACATCCCTGCAAATCACACAGATACCGAGGAGATAAATGTCTTCCTAAGAAAATCACATGTAAATATCTTACGCAGCTATAGGCTTTAGAATCTGAGAATCCAAGTTCACATTGATCTAGGTTCACTGTGGTATTTCTCTGCCTTGTGTGGCTTTGGACAAGTCATTTCACCTTTTAGGCGACCTGGTTTTCTGTAAAACTAGGGGCCTGGAACTAGGTGAGTATAAAGTTCCTTCCAGTGCTAAATGCTTTGTTCCTATGAATCTTGAGTATTCTCTTCTTAAGCCTAGATCTTTGGATGTTAAGCCCTCTTGTGATAAGTAAGCACTGCGCTAAGTGCCTAGGCTGCAAAAACAAAATGGAAGATAATCCCTGCCCTCAAGGAACATCTATTCTAGTAGGAGGAGACCTCAGAACTAAGGTTTATGTGCTGTTGTAAGGTCTGTGCCCAGGATCATGCTGCTAATAAGTGTCTACAGTAGGATTAGAATACAGATCATCCTGACCACATGTCCAGCACTGGTCACTTTATTTAAAACTGAATTTAATACAACAAAATGAGTCTTCAGTCTTGTCCTTTGGAGCTGTATGGCACTTGGCCTGTGCCATCCCAGGCTTCCCTCAGAGAACCAAGAGGGCTTATCTCTGCCTCTTAACCTTAGCTACAATAATAGCATTAATAAGGTAGAAAATCCCTTAGTATCTTCCTAGTAGTTAGTTGGTGTGCCACGTGACCCTGAGAAATATACAAATGAGAGATAATAGAATTCTTTCTGGCTAACTTATCTGGACTAAGGGTGTGGGAGGCTGCTCAGGCATTGACCTTTACCTCTGTGTGAGAGAGGATCTGGCCATGTGCTAAAGCTAAGGGAGAAGAGAGGTGTGTATGTAATTGAGTGGGAAAGAGTGAGAGAGAGAGAGAGAGAGAGAGAGAGAGTGTGTGTGTGTGTGTGTGTATGCCTGGTGTATGTAGAGGTCAGTGTAACAGAGCGTGGGTTGGGGTAAGTGTTGTATATAATGAATTTAGTAGTTTATAGAAACAATGACATCGTTACATTGTAGACTGAAAGCTTCCACAGAATGTTTCTGGTGACTATCATTATTTTTGTGGTTAAGGAACCTTGAAAAAGTTAAGCTGACATAGATAGAGTCCAGTTTTCTGTTGTTCCTTCAAACAGGAGCAGCTATTTTCAGGGCAATTGAATTAGCAAAATAGGGATACTGAGTATTTCTTTCCCATTCTTCAAAACTAGGACAAGGGGCAGCCATATCCAATTTTATAAGAGGGTTCCAAGGAAGAACTTACCTTACCAGAAGGATAGGTGGTAGAAAGATACCAAATGTTGGTTATCAGATCTTGGCCTCTCTGCTCAGATTGGCAAAGTGAACCTTCAGCTATATGGAGAAGGTCTCTGTTTGAGTCATTTGTCTGTCCACCGTCAGGGAAGCCATTCTTCTTAACCGCCTGCCTCTGCCAGGCTCTGATGAACCTCATTTATCTCAAAGTAGAAAAGATTAAGCCCAAGCTGTTGCAGTGGGAGTGGGGAGTGAGATCAAGCTGTCACTTCAGCAAGGCAGGGGAGCCTAGATAATTGTAAAAATGTATAATATCCTGTTCTGGGTTTGCGGTTGGAAACTACTCCTTTAGAGGACTAGTTTTCCAGAAGTGGGTGTGCAGGCCAGGATCGAAGTCCTTGACTAGAAGATGATGAACATTTGTACCTTGTATTGTGCTTGGTGAACATAAGTGGTTTTATATTTAGCACTAAGGAATCCTCACAACTTTACATCCTATGAAAATGTGTTTGTAGTCATGAAAATTGGAAACATCTTCTTTAGTCCTTTCCCTGCTGTGTCTGTTCAGGTATAAATCCACGAGTGAAGTCGGGACGTTTTATGAAAATTCTTCCCGATTACGAGCACATGGAATACAGAGATGTTTACACCTGCCGTACGTACTTGCTGCCAGCTGATGCTTTTTGCAGAGATCACGCCCAAGATGCTGCATGACGATCCTAACGCACAGAGAATGTTAGGATTGTGCTGATCTCAGAGCAAGCTGATGATCACTTTGGCTTTTTTGCTGCTTGTCACTTTTCAGGAAGATGTCCTGTTGTTTTGGTTACAGAGAGTATTTCTGAATGGTTGGCATTGGTTAAAGTTTACTAGGCTTAGAGAGTAATTCTACCTCAAGTGTCTGGCATTGCTTTTGATCAGTCCTCCATGGAGCCTACCAATGATAACATTTTAAACATTTCCTGAGGGTGCTGTATGCTGGACAGTTAATTAGGTTCACTCCGGGTCAGGGCGGTGAGAATGAACAGAAGCTCTCAACTTTTTTGTCTTCCCCTCAAAATGAAGCTTAAGCTGCTCCCTTGTTCTAAACATTAGTCATCGTTGTGCATGTGAGTTCTAGATGGGCTCCCTTGCTGAATTTGTATATCCTTGATTATGTAGTGTGGCAGTTGGATATTAAAAAATCTTTTGGACCCACATAATATTAACTTGCCCTCTAAACTTACACTGACCCTCCCTACTTTTATCAGTATCATCTCCATCCGTTATTCTAGTTAGTTATCCTACCTGCTTCTCATTTAGGAGAGTGAGGGTATACTTGGTGTTAAGGTAAAGTTATCTGGATTGGTTTAACAATACCTTTTATATAATACAATTATAAAGGACTTTGGGAGAGGCAGTGTGACATAGTGGATGGAGAGCCAGCCTTGGAGTCAGAAAAGCCTACGCGTGTGAGTCCCGCCTCTGAGACATCTAGCAGATCACTTAGCCTTCTGGGGGTGAGCTTGGCAACACAACTCTCTCAGACTATAAGTAGGTCAAGGTTGCTGATTTAAGTGAATAGGAGTGTCCCACACACATGAAATTAGGAGATCAAACAAGTAAAAAAAATTATTTTGTAGACAATAAGCTCAAAAAAGTGAAGGTTACTCAGGTATGATGATACTGGCTACAAGTGGGTAAGAGGGGTTACAAGCTTTTTTCATTATTAACCCTTCCTCTACTCCACCCCCACCCCTACCCCATTCCCTCCTCTTCACCCTCCACCCCTAACCCTTTTCAGCTATGGAGTAGAGTCTAAGCAGGAGAGATACTTCTAAAGATGTAGAAGCTCAGAATTAGCTGAAACCAGCCTTGAAAACAGTGAGGACAGGGTGGAGGTGACGGGAAAGTAAGCTGATTAACAAAGGAACTTAAGAGGTCATAGGAAGAAGGTAGGGGAGAGTTCAAGAAAAGGGATGAGGAACAGTGGTGGAGCCCACCCAGGGATGAGGAGTGCTGGGGGCAGCTGAAAGGCCGGAGGCTGCTGCAGTTGCCTTGGTAGACTTTGAGAACGTTTCTTGTGTGGGGTGACTCTGTGGGTGTGGGCTTAAAAAAAAAAAAAAGGATATTAACTTTGTTACTAAAGCTGTTGTTAACTGGAAGCAGATGTAATTACTGATTTTAAAAAATGATTTGAGTGTTAAGATCTGTTTAATATTTAATCCTTTTTTGCTCTGGGAGCTTCTTTTTTGGCAAAAAGAGAATTTATGATTTAGAAATTTTTCTAAATGTTCCTAACATCTGGTATTTTAGCTTCATATTTATATTGGTAATAGTGGTTCCTTATCCCCACATAGGAAAATTATAGTTTTTGATGTATTGAGTGACAGAAAGCTGAGATTGTTTTATGGCCAGGTATACCCTGTGTTTTGTGTTATGCTATGACCTTTCATAAATTAAATTGATTTTGATGAAGTAAGATACACTTACAGTGAGTAAAAGGAAACTGTTGTAAATTGTCTTAAGTGATTTTCTGATTTGGCGGGGAGAAATATTTTAGCTGGAGCTGAGCAAAATAGTCTAAAGAAAGAAAATTAGCTTGGTTTTAACTAGGTAATATGGAGATATATGTTATAATATTTTGAATTACTTTATGAGGAGCATGCTGTGTCCTTGAGTGTTTAATACCTGATTGCATGGTCCTTGGGTATGGATATTTGCTTTATTAACCAATCTTAGATATATCAGGACAGCTTTGGTTTCTCGTATTTGTGATCTGTAATGGTTCTCTCTCTCTCTCTCTCTGTCTTTCTCTTTTTCTCTCTTTTTTATAGTTGCCTTTGATGCAATTCCACGTCACATTAATAAAAATATAGACTTTAAAGGGTTTAAAATAGATGTTCAGGTTGAGATACCGCCACGTCCTTTCCCCTTCAGGTCTCCCTGTTGGTGTCAGTATGATTATAGAGCTCTTGCTGTCTCTCACTGTATTGCCCATTTTGAATAAAGGCCCCTCGGGAAAAAATGTGGATCTTCCTTCCCAGATATGTCATATTATTTTTTTCTTTTTGGTGAGGCATTTGGAGTTAAGTGACTTGCCTAGGGTCGCACTGCTGGTAAGTATCACATGTCTGAGGTCAAATTTGAACTCGGGTCCTCCTGACTCCAGGACGAGTGCTCTATCCACTTCGCCACCTAGCTGCCCCCCAGATATGTCATATTCTAAGGATTTCTTTCCGGTGTAACTAAAACAGCATGTTATGGTGGAAAGAAAATGGGACTTGAAGTCAGGAGCCTTGAGTTCTAGACTTGGCTGTGTCACCGACTGCCCATGATGGGACTCTGGGGCGGCATTTACTTAAGCGTCATCACCTCATCTGTGAAAGGGGTTGTGAGAATCAAATGAAAGGGAAAATGCTTATTAGAAAAGTATCCAGATTTGTTCAGGGCTTACTAGGTGCCATGCAGTGTGAAGAGGCAGCTGGTGGTGCGGTGAATAGAGCGCTGGGCCTGTGGCCAAGAAATCCTGAGTTCAGATATGTGACCTCAGACACTTACTGGTGGGGTGACCCTGAATGGGTCACTTAACCTCTGTTTGCTTCAGTTTTAAACTGCAAAATGAGGATCACCCTAGCCCTTACCTCAGAGGGCTGTAGTGAGGATGAAATGAGATAAAAGTAAAAATTTAGATCCAACCTCTTAGCACAGTGCCTGGTGCATATAAATGCCTATTCTTTTCTTCTTCCTCCTTCAAGTAGAAAAAGGTTGTTATAACCTCTCCTCTCAAGGAAGTCACATTCTGCAGTAGAGTTTGAGTTTGAATGCTTGGCAGTTCAGCTTGAGAAAGGACCTCATTGTCTGGTACCTTCTCCTGCTAGGTGATCTTCACAGTCTTCCTAAGACAGTTCAGATGGTCCCTGGGCAAGTCACTTAACCTCTGTCTGCCTCAGTTCTGATTTGTAAAATGGGGATAATTATAGCACCTACGTCCTAGGGTGGTTGTGAGGATAAAGTATGCTAATTGGAGGAGACCACACATAAATGAAAGATCAGCTGCAGGTTAGCTAGAAGATGTGGGAGTCCTAAGGTTTAGTGGAAGGGCCCAAGTTTGTCATTAGGTCCAATGGCAGTGCCTGGGATTTTTCTGGGTTTAGAGGCAGGGATCCAAATGGTAAGGCCTGGTGATCTTGCACCTCACTGGAAGAAATAAAGTTGGAAACCCCAGGTCATCCAGCTGGTTTGAGTAGTGAAGCAGCCCAGATGTGTTCTGGGGCAAGGGAGGAGATAGTGGGCAAAGAGTGGGTGGAACGTCTAGGCCTCCTCCCTTCTCTCCCTCCCACCCCCCATGGGGTCTGGAACAATTTGGGATTGATGAGTGTAAAGGGTTAACACTACTTAAAAAATACCGCTTCTGTTGCCACACCAGGCAGGGTTGGCAGATGAGAAGACAGTGCTTCAGTTGAAGGTTAACTTGAGAAGAGTCTATTCCAGTTGGGCCAGTTAGGATATTTGCTACTTTGAGTAGTTATCAGAACATACCTTACTACTGGCATAAAATTCTCCTTTTTGTTGTTGTGTACTTTCAGTCAAGTGACTTGACTACAATTAGAAACTGAGATAGAAATCAGGTCGCCTGATCCCTGGTGGTGGTGTTCTGTGTTGGGAGACAGTCACGTCTTCCCTTCCTTCTGGTGTATTTTACTTCCTGTTATTTTAAAGCTCTGGTTTATATTTCTGAACTCTTCCAGTGGTGGTCAGCACTATCGTATAGTACCCTCAGAATAATGTGGAAGTATAATTTCATAAAATCCTTATCCCCTGCCCCTGAATTCCTTGTTTCTTTCAGTAGGTTCAGGGCTTTAAACTTTTTAGTTAGTTGTAAGTCAGCAAGTTTGGTTCTAAGTATCACTATGGAAAAAAATGTCATCTACCAAGAATATGTAATGGTCAAAATTTCTCTAGCAATTAATTTTTTTCTTTTTGATCCTTGAATCTAAAAGACTTTATTGTGAATGCAAAGTATTTGTGGAGATGTAAAGGGAGAAAACTCTGACTTTTCCTAATATCATTTGTCATAATTTCTCTGATTCTTTATCACATTGAATTTTTACACATTTTTCTCCATATTTTCAAGCATTTAAGTGCTTTAGACAGCTAGAGCAAATGACCATAACACACAATTTGGAAACGAACTTAAATTACTTAGCCACTATTGAGACCCGAGGAACATTGTTTAAGACCAGAAGTGTTTCGATGTGTTGAATCATAGTTTAATTCTGTCTCTGTGACCTTTGAATTTGAACACCTAGAATGCAATGTGATGTACTGCATCGAAATGACAAGCAGCTATGGCTTACCTCCAGGGACAGTCTCTGTTTACAGATATCAAAAGTTCACTTGACCAAATCCCAGGCTGTCATTTTCTTTCATTTAAACTAAAAATAGGTGCTTTGCCTTTTATTAACTGAAATCAGTTTATGGTTTAGCCCTTAAAAAGGATACAGTATGAGGCAGAAGCTTTGTGCTGTAGTGTGACAATTTTTAATCCTCTGTATTTACTAAAGAAAGGCAGCCTTGGCAGAGGGGTAGAGAGGACTGACCTGGGAGCCAGAATGATCTGTCCTGCATCTGGTCAAGTCATTTAACTTTTTATTAGTGCCCCAGGCAAACATTCTATAGGTAGGCTCGGTGTAGTAGGAAAGAGGGCATTGAGGGTATTTTCTCATCAAAAGCTTTTCCCACACAGATGAAATCAAGGTCTGGAACAAAAAAAAAATACTAAAGTATACATTTATTTTTGAATTATACCAATGTCTCTGATTTATCTTTCAGGGCCTCCTCATACTTTAGAATTTCCCCAGGAGTGGCAAATCTGTTCCATTGAGGGTAGTTCTCATTTGGGGAAAGAACCAAAAGTCATTTGAAGCCAGGTCTAGTCCTTGAACTGGGTGATCTCTCATTTGCTCCTGAAAGAAGTGTGACTGTAAGCTAATGAGACAGTTTTCAGGTGGGGCTTCTGGACCAGTTCCAAAGGCAGTGCCCAACAACATTGTTGGAATAAGGATAGAGTCTACCAGGATGAGTTTTAAAGAAACTATTACTTGGATGTGTATGTTTTCAGTAATTATTGATTACTGCCTCTTCTTCTTTTATCCCCATTATTGATAATCAGTCACCAAGTTGCTTCATCTTTCTGGAATGTCTCTTAGGGTGGTCCTTGTCTGTCCTCCTGTTACCTACCTTTCAGTGCCTACCACAATTACCTCATGCTTACACGAGTGCAGTGGCCTACAGGCTGTTCTGTAGCCCTGAACCCATTGCATACAGCTACCATACCACATGTGGATATAAAACCTACCCTACCTTGGCATTAGTCACCAGTGAAGTCCAGGCACCTCAGCCTGATCCTTCAGGGCCACTGCAAGCTTAGCTGTTCTCCTCTTTGGGTACTCCCACCCCCCTGGATTTCTCACCTTGACTCATCCCAGGCTTACCTGCCGTTGTCGCTCTTGAGTTATTTTGCCCATCTAGCTCCTTCCAGACCCAGTCTGAGTACTGCTTCTCCTGTGCAATCCCATCTGGTTGGGTGGGAGTGCAGCCTGTCCTTCCCAGAACCAGTGTAATTTCTAACCCATTCTGCCTGTTAGGGTTTTTTTTTGTACAGGTCACACCTCTCCTTGGTAGAGTTAAGACACTGTCTTGCATAAAACCCCCATGACATGTGGGACCATCTCTTGAAAACAGTAGGTGCTCGGTAAATACTTGCTGTTTGAATGAACTTTCTGGGATGTTTGTTTAAAAAAGACTCCCCCTCCCCCAACCTAAGCTTATAACTTTCTGTCATTCAAAGATTTATTAAGCACTTGTAGTAATTGGAAATATCTTTGATTATTCATTCTCCAAACAGTTCTAGATAAGATTTGCTGCTTGCTCTATTTTCATAATAGACTTTCCCTCCCAAAGCTCTATGTGGTGACCTCATGTTTCCCCTCTTCACCCCCTACTCCTTTGCTTTGTTGGCCTCTTTAATTCAGTTCATTGTATTCAGTTTGAGACGTACCCTTGATATTTCTCTATTTCCCCAGTGCTTCACCGATATAGACATATTTTGGGATTGTGGCAACCAGACATTGGGCCATATGGAGGGCTGTTGAATGTTGTGGTAAGTACTTAGAGAAGCTTTATTTATGTAAAAATAAGCAACAAAAAATCACCCGCCCTTTGTTATTAATTATGTAACAAACACTAGTTAACATGAGCCTTTCTGCATACAAAGAATCAAAAAAAGAGGCTTGCTTATGAAACCTACCAACCTTTTGCCTTCAGAGAGGCTTTAGTGGTTGTCTTGTATGTGAAGTTCAGAGCTGTTGGAATGATCTCTACTTAGGGTCATACCTGCACTGATACATTTTGGGGAAATACCATGAAGGCCTCACATTGAAGTTCTCATTTTTAAGTTCCTTATATTTTTATATAAATATATCTTCAATAAATATATCTCCCGGGCCCCACTAACATTCGTTGATTTTTTTTTTTTTACTTCAGTATATGCTAACATTCATTCTTATATGAAATTTGGAATATTATCAAGAAATTCTAGATAAGTATTTTTTCAGGAATTCAGATTTTATTATCTTATCAACCAAAGTGTGACTAGAAGTAGCTTTTTTAATCTTACTATTAATAGACTTTCTGATAAACAGATGTTGACTGTCAGAGAAAAATTTCCATCTAGCCTGGTTTATATTTGCTTTCTTGTAGCTAGTGAGTGACAGGCAAAGGTTCACCAATATGGCCCTCTCCTAGAGAATGATTCATGGTAGGGTGATTTTTCTCATTTGTTTGTGCCCCAGTTTGAAAGATAGCACTGGGGGACTCCAGTCTCCAGCTGGCCTTGGCCAAGGCTTAGACCTTTCCTGAGCAGCTCCAAGCTGCTGCCCTGGCCCCTGGGACCGACCCCTGCACACAACAGCCATTTACTGTTTCTGAGTCAAAGTGAACTGACTATGTATGTCTCCAGATACTGGTATCCCTGTGGGATGTGGTATTGTCATGAATCTTTAGCTTTAGGGCTAGCTTCTGACTAGTGATGACAGAAAGTATCAAAGCAGAGTCCCAGAACGGGCACCACGGGGCCTCCACAGCACAGCTGCTCCTGAGCCTCCCAGAGCCCTGGGATTCCTGCCTTTGGGGAGCAGGTGCACATCGTGTGTGCTTCTGAAAGGACATAAGCATTACATGGTGTATTAATCTGTACATTAAATTTAATAGAGTAGCACACGGAGGAGGCTACTATCCTATCAGCAAGAGGTGACATTAAAACCAGGGAAGCACGGCAGCTGAAATTGACTTACTTCCCTCCAGGCCACTTTGGGCAAATTGGAAGAATTGAAATTGGCATTTAGAAATAAGGTTTATCTGATCTCGTATTAAATTCATTCTTGCTTTGCTCTAGGAGTATACAGATTTATTAAGTTTATAGCTCTAGTCCAAAGGAAAGACAGTTACTCTTGGATTTTAATAGGAGTAAGTAGATTGATTTTAGGCATTAGTATGAGTGAGTAAACAGTGGAGATCTTGAGTAGTGTCGTGGTAATTTGGTACCCTGAGGGCTTTGTATGATACGGTGTTTTCTACCATCTGTATATTAAAGGGGGAGTATATTACATCAGCGATGTGAAATTCCTGGCCCACATCCAAGATTAAAATGTCATTGGGAAATGTTTAACAAAATAAATAAAGATACAGGACAACATAGTTCATGTTAATTTGTTGTTTTCTAAGTCAACTTGCAGCAGGAGGAATTAGTTTCTATTTGAGTTTGACATGAATGACTTATATGACAATAAGCCAAATTCTGCTTCTGAGGTCCTAACCCCTTTAGGAGTTTTGGGGTTTACTGGGACCACCCAAGGCGTGAGCCCCTGAGGCTTCCTCTGACACCTCCTGATCTAAAAGAGTTTCTTTGAATCGTTGTCTGGCCCTAAAGATTTAGTGAATTTCTTGGGAGTTCTTGTTACCCCTGGGTCTAAGCCTGAAGCCTGTGCACTCCTGTTATGAACTTCCCTCAGTTGGCTAGGATCTCCCTTGTTGTCCCCTGGGCTAGGAAGTGAAGGAGGTGGTGGGGCTGAAATTGCCCTCTATCCCCTCTGATTCTAACCTGAAACCCTAAGGCAGCATTGCTCCCCAGGATCCCAAGGTGTGTGTCAGGGCAGCCTGTGTCGAGTAGTGTGACAGCTCCAGAACACCTTTAATTACGTGAGATTTCATTGCAACGTGTGCTGCTGTTAGGATAAAACTGGGAATGTAGTTGGGTGCTCCATGGGGAGTTTTGTTTTTGCTTTTCAGCCCACCCTCTTGTGCAAACCCAGTGTTGGAGTTCTGTAAGTTAAGGTGGGGAGCTGGCTCTTTGCCATTTCTCTTTTATACAGTAATTGTTTAAATGGCCCACTAAAACTCACAAGCCCATTTTACCATTGAACTTCTAGCTACCTGGCCACCCACAACAAGTTCAATCTTGATCTACTGTAGACAAGGTAATTTGGGGGGGAAGGGAAGATTAAGATACATATTGAAATAAACCACTGTCATCCCCCCTCCAGTATTTTAAATTTATATTTTCCCATTCTTTTTGAATAAATTGAATCCTCTTTTGACTTTTTTCTGCTCACTTTAAAAAGTAGATATAGCCAGTGAGACAGATATGGATGCAAAATATGGGCCCCTGGCTTAGTAGGAGTTGTGTAGCCTTAAATGAACCACCTTGTACAGTTTTGACTAACCTTTGTTGTTCCAGTTCAGTATTTTGTTCCTTTGTCTTGAGTTCTGCTGAGGGGTAAATGTCCTTTGCAACTTGGAAGAAAAAACACTAATTAAGATTTCATTTTGGGAGGGACTTATATCTAATGTTATTAGAGAAAAAAATAGGGCTTGCTTTTTGATTCTTTTCCTTTTGAGATAAGGTCGGTAGATTTTTTTTCCCCTTTCATTTGAGGAAGGGGAAGGATTGTTTTTCTTATTGGCAGTGAATAGTAGAGTAAGGAGAAAATGTATCTTCTAAAAACAGTGGATAAGTAGAAGAAAATAGATAATTCCTTATAAAAGGATAACTGCTCCAGTTATCTTGTCCCAGACAGTGATCTTGGTGTAGCATAATGTAGTTCACACAACACTGGATTGGGAGTCAAACTCTGCAATGTTCTACCTGTGTGAATTTAGGCAGGTCACTTAACTTCCTTTGGCCTTTGTTTGATAGGACTGTGAAATGTATGGGTGGGCTTAGATGTACTGTAAGATGTCTTCCAGCTCCAAATCTGTGATCCTAAGAGTTAGAAACTGAAGAGTGTCTGGAACTAAAAGCCACACACCTGGACAGAGAAGATTTTGACCAATCAAACATTGATTCATAGAATGTCTTAAAATTGAAATCTTTATTAGAAGGTGCCTTCTCTCACTGAGAATTGCCATCTACTTGAGTCCCATGTTAGTGGTAATTGGAAAAGCAGTCTTCAAAACCAGTGTACTCAGAGGAAGTAGTGGGGAAACACCAGCATGTTGGAAGAGCCTAGGTTAGCATTGTGGGAACATTTGAGATCAGTCATTGAGGGGTTTTTAACTCTTTCTTATAGCTTCTTCTCTTTTGGTACAGGTAGATGGTTTATTTATCATTGGTTGGATGTATCTGCCTCCCCATGACCCCCATGTTGATGACCCCATGAGATTTAAACCTCTATTTAGGATTCACTTAATGGAAAGAAAGTCTGCAACTGTTGAGTGTATGTATGGCCACAAAGGGCCCCATAATGGTCATATTCAGGTAAGCATAGTGCAAACTTCTCTGTTTATGTAAACTAGGAGCATGTGCTCCGTCATGTGCCATGTGAGTTACGAGTTCATGTTCTTGGCTTATGCTCATATATTGTGCTAGTAATTATGCCATGGAGAAAGGAAGATAGTCTTTTAAACTCTGTCTCTCTTATGAATTATTTAATCTCTTTCGACTTGATGTAACTCTTGAAAGAATAATTGAAAGGAAACTATTGATTATCCATTCAGAGTGAACTTTGGGTTATCATATGGTGGTTTTCCCACACTTGGGTCTTTCCTGTTGTAGGAGAAGCTGCATTGCAGTAAACCACCCTACCCTTGACATTAGATTTTGGCAAATAATCAGGACCATCCCTGAGAGGAGAAGTGGATTATTTACTACTACATAGCAAATAGCCACTTTTTGCTTAACTCAGAAGCTCTGTGAGGGCAGAATGCCTATGTTTCTTCCTTCAATGTCACCTGTCCCCTAGCCTCTGAGAAGGGAGCTGTTCTTTCAGGGTGTGATGATGTACTTCTGCCATTTTAACCTTTCACACTTACTGATTGCCAAAATTGCCCTCAAGACAGGATTGTTTGGTTAATTGAATAAACCAGAGGGGCCTGCCTTGGAGCGTGCCTGACTTCCTGTTTCATGTTGTGTGCTTGAGTCCCTTCTGCCAAATTGTTCACATAATACTTCTGGTTGTCAGTTCTCTTTTTCTCCTCCTGTGAATCACTAGATTGTAAAGAAGGATGAGTTTTCTACCAAGTGCAACCAGACAGATCACCATAGGATGTCTGGTGGGAGACAAGAGGTAAGTCTGTCTTTGGGATACAGATGGGTGGGTGGGCACCCTGAGAATAGCTTAACAGCTATGTTACTCACTGTTTACTGTATCTTGGAGAAGGAGAGTGTAGAGATTTTATTAGCAGAATACTTAGCACAGAGCTTTATTTTCATGCGTTTTTAGAAGTTATTCCATGTGAATGTGTTCATATGTATAGATTTTCTCCCCTAGAATGAATGAACTAAGCTCTAATATTTATATCCCTTTTGTTAAGTGACTGAAAGTATCTGTAGAAAGCTAAAAAAGAAAAAAGCCCTCTGAAAAGTGAAAGTATTTAATTTGATCAAAAGGCATTTTTTAGTTCAAATAATATGTTGACTTGTTTAAGAAGCTCCTGAGTCTGATTTCTCAACATTTTGTAGCTATTCTAAATTTCATAACTGGGGAAGTGATGTTATTTAAGAAAACATTTTGAGATGCTGATTTTGCTGCATTATGTAGTGAGGCTTCTCCCTTTGAATTATGACTTTCAGAGACAATCAGATACATTACTTTATTTGGAACCTTCGTGTTCTTGTAGATCAGGTGGTACAGAAGCTTGCATGTCAGACAGAACCTTAGGGCTGCTGTCATGAGTCAGTGCTTCTGTCTGCAGTGTAAGCTACAAAGCTGTTACACAGAACTGATTTGGTTTCAACTGGTTTGGTTTTTGCTTTTGTAGAAACCGTTTTGTGCCTTATTTTATTGTTAATAGTAGCTGATGTGGGTGAATGTGTGTTTTATGTGAGTTACCTCATTTAACCCTCAAAACAGCCCCATTGAGGTGGGTACCACATAAGCATTATTATCCCTATTTTACAAATGAGGAAACTGAGGCTCAGAGAGGTTAAGTGTCAGAGGAGGGATGTGACGCCAGGCCCTCCTGAGTCCAGGTCTAGCGCTCTTTCTGCTACACCATACTATCTCTCATTTTGTCATCAGCTTGAGTTGTAGGGACCCAGGCAGTACACGGATATACAAATATCTAAGAGACTGGCTTTTAAAAATGTTGTTAAAATGGGGGTTTTGTGTTTATTTGTTATAAATGCCTCTAAGGGGAGTTGGCAGCTGTCCTTGTCCCCAGCAACCTGTCTGCCATTTATTCCTCTGTTTAGAGTCTGTTACAGTAGGAATTAAAGACAAGCAGAGCATGCCCACTCTTAACATTTTAAGAGTGTTTTGTGCTCCTGAACACCTGGTCGATTGAGGTGATGACCCGTGGGAGCAGGTGCCCTAAAGTGACTGTCCTGCCTGCCCCCCAGAGAAGCTGAAACTGTTGCTGTGCTGGGCTTTGGTCTTGGTTAGGGAGGAGGTGCCACGTGCTGTGTGGGGAGCTGTCTCCTAGGTTGCGAGCATGGGTGGGTTGACAGCAGGTGGAAGCATCTTCGTTCACTGCTCACTGCTTGTGTCTGCTCTAGTCAGTTTGTGGTTGTCTATCTTAGGATTGAAAGGGGTTCAAGACACATTAAAAAATAACTCCCCCTTTTTTCTTTTTCTGAGCCTTGTTTCCAGTAGTGCTGTCCTTTGTAGATGCTTTTGGCAAACCCACTGATTCTAGTGGAAAGGACAGTAATTACTCCTCTCAACAGCTGTATAAAAAGTTTTTAAGGAATCTTCTTTTAGGGTTGAGTTTTTTAAGAATATATTTCGAGGGTCCTCAGAAAGAGTGGGTGTCGTCAAAATATCAATTATAATTTAACTTTTTTTGTCATTTAAATGACACGTTTTATAGTCTTATTTAAACTCATATATAATTTGTCAGCTTATAAATTTACATAATTGGTCATTCATTATAGAAGTAAGATGAGTGAATTTGGTACCCAACTAGTTTTTTAAAAAAAAGTTTTTTGTTCTTTATTTTTAACAGTTCTTTTTAAAAAAAATTGAGTTCCAAATTTTCTCCCTCCAGTCCTTTCCCCACCTAGTGAGAAGGCAAGCAATATGATATCCATTATACATGGAAGCCATGTAAAACATATTTTCTGTATTAGCCATCCAACTAGATTTTTCATCCATTACGAATCTTTATGCTTGGGCTGCCTGTTATTAGTGGTGTGAGATGAGAAGGGATAAGTAAACTTTATTAAATGAGCTCGTGGCTTCATCAAGCTATTAATACATATTTATTGAGTATCAGCTATAAGTAGTAGTAATCTTTCCCAAGGGGCATGCCAAAATTATTTTTTAAACTACTTGAGGCCCATGGACATCTAATACCAGTGGGCTTAGGGTAGAGAATGCCTGGCCATGAGGAAGGGGGGATAGCATGCTGCCCCAACCACTTTACTGTTAAAAACCACCTCATGTTGCCGTTTGTCATAAATGGCCACCCGACCCATAGGCCATGTATTTGCTTAGCAGGCAGTGTGAAGTTTTATAGAGGTTCTGGGATTTTAGAGGTTCTTGATTTTACTCAGAGCTTGGAGCTATTGCTTCTGTTTAGAAGTTGGTAGTTTCTTAATGAATTTTTTCATCCCTTCTCCCTCCATCCCCAGGTCTAATAAGCTGTTGCTGGAACAAATATACTTTAGAGAATCTTTTTCTTGGTTTGTTTGGATTGGTCGGTATCGATGTGTTCTTTGTATTCATAGAAAGCCGAGTTCTGACTCTACCCAAGGTCTTGTCGTTGATGTTATTCACAACATTTACAGTAAAATGTTTGTGTGTTTTAAGTACACCTACATCTTCACTATCACATTCATGTTAATATTTCTTTGGCCCCTGTAATACCTTTCTTTTAAAGCACTCCTGTCACAATGGGCAGCTGATTTGTTTTTGGTAACCTGCTTGGATTAGGGAAAGCAAAATACTCCAAAGCAGTTGACAAGTTGTCATAATTTAGAAATAAGATCTGAATCTGCTCAATGTTAGGGTTAATTCTAAATGATGCTGAAAAATGCTTTGCAGAATTAGGAACTAAGAGTTTTGTATAAACCATGTTAGTTTGTGTAGTTTTTAAGAGTTAAATGTTGTATTCCAGTACACAGTGGAAATGCACTAGTACATAGCCCATTACTGAACAGCTAGGAGTTGGTCATTTAGAGATGTTGTTCATGCCAATTTTTTGTGGAGCGTTTTATAAATTTTTTTATTTTGGCAGGAATTCCGAACATGGCTGAGAGAAGAATGGGGACGGACCTTGGAAGACATTTTCCATGAACACATGCAAGAGCTTATCTTGATGAAGTTCATTTATACCAGTCAATATGAGTAAGTATCAGTATTACAAGCAAAGAAGTCCTGGTTGCATCCTGCCTCCTCTGAAACTGATGAAGCTGTCCAGTGCAGTTCCACAAATGGCTTGTTTGTTTGAGAGGACTTTGAGTGTTTGGATTTTTGTCTATGCAAAACAGATACCCAAATGCACATATAAGATGCCTGTGTTTATATGCAGACTGCAGTACTTTAGTGGTCTATAATTTAGTCAGTGTGTGTACGTTCCTTCCCCACTTCATGCACGTCAGTCTTTCTGTTGCTTGGAAGAGGGGGTCTTTGAGAACTGGAGCTGTCAGCTTGTTTACTTGTAGCTATGATAATATGAGCCTGTCTTCTGTACTTAGCGACACTAGTTCTCAAATGGTAGACAGCCATTCTTTCACCAGGTTTGTACTGGATACTGTCCTGGTTTGGTAGGACCTTCAGAATTTGTACATTGGAGTTAGGCTTTAGTGGAATCTGTCTCTGTCTCTGTCTCTCTCTCTGTCTCTGTCTATCTCTCTGTCTCTGTCTCTGTCTTTGTCTCTGTCTCTCCTTACATCAGAGTTAGAATTTAGTGAAATTTCTCTCTCTGCATTTTTCTTTTTCCCTCTTTCTCTGTATTTTCTCTTTATTTCTTAATACAAACATGTGTATATGCATTGATATATATATATGTATATGCATTTTAAAAATTCAGTTTTTTCAATTAACTTCTATTTTCTCTCTCTTGATAGGGGAAGAAAAAAAGAAAAACAAAACCCTTGTAACAAATATGGATAGTAAAGCAAAACAAAGTTCCACTTTAGCTGTGTCCAAAAAATATTTATCTCAAATTTGTACCTTGAGTTCCATCACCTACCCTTTTGTTAGGAGGTAGATAGCATGCTTCATCAGTTCTCTGGATTGTCATTGGTCATTGCATCAGTCAGACTTCTTAAGTCTTTCACTTTCTGTATATTTATTCAAAAAATGTATATATAATGCACATAGAAATGTTGTTTAGGTATCCTTCCTTTGGAAAGGCAGACATGGTGTAGTGGATGGAGTATTGGGCTTGGAGTCCCTAGCTTTGTGATATAGGCAAGTCCCTTCACCTCCTTGAGCCTCAGGCAGCTCTCCAAGCCTCATCTCTTGAGTTATAGATTGATTGTGAGACCACATCAGTGAGATTTCAGATTCTTGCTGTATGGACTTGTATTTGTGCACAGACATGAAATACTGTTTTCTCAACTTGAGCTGTGAATTCTTTTGTCTTATTCTTTTTTTTTTTTTTGGTTTTTTTTTGTGGTGAAGCAGTCGGGGTTAAGTGACTTGGCCAGAGTCACACAGCTCGTAAATGTCATGTGTCTGATGCCAGATTTGAACTCAGGTCCTCCTGACTCCATGGCCGGAGCTCTATCCACTGCGCCACCTAGCTGCCCCCTTGTCTTATTCTTATCCCCTTTTCGGACAAGATGTTTTCCACATCTTGTCCTCTCTGATGATGTCCTAGATGCTCACATGTTCTAAACCCGATTCGGACTACTGTGTCATATGGCTCTTCCTCTTGGTGATGTGTGTTTTTTATCCAGGGATAGCAGAAGCACGGAGTTCTTGGAGCTAGACCTGAGCTCGCACAGCAACAAATGGCCTTACTGATTTTTAAAGGATTCTCCTGTAAATTGATGACATATTTTTCTGTGTGCTGGGGAGAGCTTTTTGGATGAGGATTGATGATAAGACTGATGAACTGTGGGAGGGAGAAGTTTATCTTCTGGGAGCGAATGTCTTAGCAGTTCAATGGCCAAACAAATGATGATATCCCAAGAAGTTTAAAGAAGAAAAGATAGGTGATAGTTTCTTTTGAGAATTCAGAAACCTTGGGTGTTGTCACTGCTCTGCTGATTTTTGTTCCTTTGGTTACTGTCTTCTGCAGCAATTGTCTGACATACAGACGGATCTACCTCCCTCCGAGAAGACCTGATGATCTCATCAAGCCAGGCCTCTTCAAGGGAACTTACGGGAGTCACGGCTTAGAGATTGTCATGCTGAGCTTCCATGGGAAATGTGCCAAAGGAACAAAGATAACGGTAAGGCTGTTGTCGTTGTCTCCTTGCCTGTGTGGCTGTCTGGCTCCTTTGACTTCAGAGTAGTTTCCAGCATTTACCTTTTCTTGGTGTGATCAGGTCAGGGAACAATGGGAATTGAACACGGTGGTGGAAAGATCCATCAGTATTGGAGAGCCTGTGATCATCTCATAGATTTAGAAATGGAAGAGACCTTAGAAATCGTTTAGTCTTCCTCTTAGATTTTACACTTAAAAAAAGCGAGGCCCAGAGAGGGGTGCGTGACTTGCTGAAGCATGACCTTGACTGTAGTAAGCCGACCTGGATTTGAACTCAGATCCATCACTGCTCTAGGACTTGGATTTGAATCTTGGCTCTGCATCTCCCTCTCTGTGTGCCCTAGGGGCAGGTGTTCTCAGCTCTGCAGGATTGAGTGTCTTCATCTGTACGCTCTGATGTTCTGTGCACATTAGCAGCCTCCATTACCAGGGGGGCAGCATTTAGTAAGAGTAGATCTCTGGACAAGTGACCTTCAGGAGGAGTGAGCAAGCCTGAGAGTCTCATGCTCATCAGACGCTAGCGGTTAGCTTGCCTGAGTGCCCCAGCTTTTGGTTACAAATGAAATCGTTGGGATGCTGAATCAGGACTGAGTCCTGGGTTCAGGTCCCACTTCTGGTACTGCGTGACTCAGGGCAAGTCTCTTATCCCCTCTGCTCCTCAGTTTCCTTATCTGTCAAATGAGATAGTCCCTGCTGCACAGAGCACTGGTGAGGCTTAAGTGAGATAGTATACTAATACAGTGTGCTACATAAAGAGCAGCTGCTGCTGTTAGTGCTTTTTAACAGAGCATGTTGTTATATTTGGGAATCTAAACTCCAGCAGGATCATGGCTGGCGGGTCATTCATCGGTTCCACTGCCTATGAGGATTGGTACAGGTGATCTCAGCTTTAAAGAGGTGACCTTGGATGAATTGCTTGTATTTGTGCACAGACACGAAATACTGTTCTCTCTACTGGAGCTGTGAATTCTGTTGTCTTATTCTTATCCCCTTCGGCAAGATGTTTTCCAAATCTTGTTCTTGCTAATGACGTCTTAGAAGCTCGCATGTTATAAACCCTGTTTGGACTATTGTGTCATATAGTAGTTGTAAAACACGTTGTAAAAAATGATCTTTTAGGTCCCTTCTAGCTATAAATTTGTTGGTTCATGTTTAGACCTTTAAAAGCTGACCTTGGAACTGCTAACAAGGTCCTTTCTAACTCTTGTGTTCTGGGATTTGATGAAGTCAGACTGTCTCAGCCAGATATCCCAAGGGGAGCCAGCCCATTGATGGTTGGCTCTGTTTTTCAGGAGGTGTCAAGGATCAGTAGGCCCGCTGGACCCTGTTCAGATAAGTAATGTCACTAAGGCATTTTTGTAGAGAAAGAGCTGTTCCCCCCAGCCCCAGGCAGTTGTCAAGCAAAAGATGGGTTGAGTTTTCTACTTGGCGGCATCCTGCTTTCACCACTTTAAACTACCCACCATAGGAAAGTGTGTGCAGAGCCAGAGATGTTTCTCCAGTGTGACTGAGTTTGGCTCAGTCCAATGTTTAACACAGTCAAGTCCCACATAAATAATCCTTTCTAGGCATCTCGAGCATTTTAATTCCTCTGATTGCTTCCCTCCTGGCTGATTACTTCTTCTGTCTCCACCTGTGAGGTCACAGTTATTTCTAGCTAGTTCATCCCATTTCAACCTTGTAACAAGAGTGACTGCTTGTTCTCCGAGCCCCTCAGTTTCATGGAGAGCTGGTAGGGTATTTAGGGGTTAGGGTGGGCTAGGATCTGGTCTCAGATCTGCTCCCAGGGATTTCAGGTTGGAACTGTTTTCCTTGCCTCTGTCTGACCCCCACATCTTAACCTTTGTCCAATGAATTGTTTATAGAAATTTCCTCTTTAAGTCCCACTTTGTTTGGGTACCCCACCCCCTTCACCTAACCCCAACCCCGCCATTTTTTCTGTCCTTGCAAGAAACACTTTTCTAGCAGACTAATTAGCCCAGCTGTTTAGTTTAGCCCAGGTTCGCATTGTCTTCTTTGGAATTCTGATGTTCTTTAAAAGTTTCAGATATCTTTAGAACTTTGCACATATACCCTCTCCCCCCCAACATTATTTTTTCATGGATTAACATAAACTAGTTGCATAATTGCAAACCAGTTCTGACTTAGCTAGAGTGTACACATCCCCACATTTACACTGATTTTTACTACAAACCTTTGAACAAAGGTGGCATTATATGAATACTGATACAAGTGACATAAGTGACATAGGAGCAAAGGGATGGATATTGTGGGGTTTGTGTTGGTTCTACAAGATTTTTCCTCCCTGGGGTGGTGGAGCCAAGATGGTGCAGAGAATCCGGGAAGTTGCCTTAGCCCTCCCCAGTTTCCCTCAGCAACATTAAATCAGGCCTCTAAATGGATTCTGGAGAGACAGAACCTACAAAAAGATGGAGTGAAACAGTTTTCCAGCTTAAGATAACTTTGGAGGACTTCAGGAAAGATCTATCTCACTTAGGTAAAAGGGGAGCACAGCCCAGTGCAAACGGTGTCCGAGTAAGCCAGGGGGAGGCTTTTAGCCCCAGCACAGGTCAGCACCTGAGGTCCCTCAGTCCTGGCTCAGCAGGCCATTGTGAGGCTTCCAGTTCTAGCACAGAAGGCAAGTTGCCAGTCCTGGAAACCAGGCAACAAAAGGTGTGACTAGGCTGGGCCACCCTAATGCAGTGAGTGAGCCACCAGTACCTGAGGCCTCAGTGCACAAAGCCAGTGACCAGGCCCTTAGAAGCTTGGGACAGTGTCCCCTGTGCCCCTAGGGAGAGCTCAATTTTAAAAGCCACAAAATATTTTGGCCAAAAATGAGCAGGAAGCAGAAAAGAACCTTGAACCATAGAAAATTACTATGGTGACAGGGGAGATCAAAACACAAACTCAGAAGACTACAACATCATCAACATACCTACATGCAAAACTTCAAAGGGGAAAATGAATTGGTCTCAGGCCCTAAAAGCCTTCTTGGAAGAGCTCAAAAAGGATTTTAAAAGTCAAATAAGAGAGGTAGAAGAAAAATTGGGAAAAGAAATGAAAGGTATACAAGAGATAATCAACAGTTTGGAAAAGGAAGGACAGAAGTTGATTGAAGTAAACAATTCCTTAAAAAATAGTTGGCCAAATGAAAAAAAAAAAAGAAAATTCCTTAAAGAATAGAATTAGCTAAATGGAAAAGGAGGTACAAAAGCTAACTGAAGAAAATAGTGCCTTAAAAATTAGAATTGGGCAAGTGGAAGCTAATGACTATGAGACATCAAGAAAGAGTCCAGCAAAATCAAAAGAATGAAGAAAATAGAAGAAAATGTAAAATACTTCATTGGAAAAACAACTGACCTGGAAAATAGATCCAGGAGAGATAATTTAAAAATTATTGGTTTGTCTGAAAGCCATGATAAAAAAGCAAAACAAAAAAAAAACCCTGGACAGCATCTTTCAAGAAACCATCAAGGAAAACTGCCCTGATATCCTAGAACCAGAGGATAAAATAGTCATTGAAAGAATCCACTAATCACCTCCTGAAAGAGATCCCCAAATGAAAACTCTAAGGAATATTGTAGTCAAATTGCAGAATTATCAGGTTAAGGAGAAAATATTGCAAGTAGCCAGAAAGAAACAATTGAAATACTGTGGAGCCATAGTCTGGATTACATAGGACTTAACCAGCTTCTATATTAAAGGATTGGAGGGCTTGGAATATGATATTCCAGAAGGTAAAGGAGCTTGGATTACAATCAAGAATCAACTACTCAGCAAAATTGAGCAAAATCTTTCAGGGCAGAAGATGGATATTCAATGAAATAGGGACCTTTCAGTGATTTCTGATGAAAAGACCAGATCTGAACAGAAAATTTGACATTCAAATATAAGACTCATGAGAAGCATAAAAAGGTAAACAGGAAAGAGAAAAGAAAACCTGTTCAGTAAATAAGGTTAAACCTTTTACATCCCTACATGGGAAGATGATACTTGTAACTCTTGAGAACTATATCTTTATTGTGACATATAGAAGAGGTATACATAGACAGAGGATGTGGGTATGAGTTGATGTTGATATGATATTAAAAAAATTAAGGGATTAAAAAAAGATTGTACTGGGAGAAGAGTAAGGAGGGAGGCAGAATAGGGTAAATTACATCACATGAAGAGGCGCAGAAGACCTATTACAGTAGAGAAAAAGAAAGGAGGGAGACGCGCATCATTTGAACCTGAACTCTCATCAGATTTGTCTCAAAGGAAATAACATACTCACTCAGTTGGGTATTGAAATCTATCTTACCCTATAGGGAAGTAGGAGGGGAAAGAAAATGGAGGGGGATGGGTAGAGGGGAGAGCAGAAGAGAGTGAAGTAGTAGGGGAAAGGGGAAAGAAAAGGAGGGAGGGATGATAGAAAGGAAGGCAGATTGAGGGAGGTAGTGGTCAGAGGCAAAACACTGATGAGGAGAGAGGGGAAATAGGATGGAGAGGAAGACAGAATTAGTAATCATAAATGTGAATGGGATGAACTTTTCCATAAAACAGAAGTGGATAGCAGAGTGGATTAAAACTATAATCCTATAATATATTGTTTACAGTACACATTTACAAATACACATTTGAAGCAGGCAGATACACACAGAGTTAAGGTGAAAGGATGGAGCTGAATATGTTATGCTTCAGCCGAAGTAAAAAAGCAGGAGTCAATCCTGATCTCAGACAAAGCAAAAGTAAAAATAGATCTAATTAGAAGAAATAAAGAAGAAAACTACATTTTGCTAAAAGGTACCATAGATGATGAAGTAATATCATTACTAAACACATATGCACCAAGTGGTATGGCATCCAGATTCTTAGAGGAGAAGTTAAGTGAGTTACAGGAAGAAATAGACAGCAAAACTATGCTAGTGGGGGACTTTAACCCCCCCCTCAAAACTAGATAACTCTAACCATAAAATAAACAAGAAAGAAACTAAAGAGGTGAGTAGAATTTTAGAAAAGTGAGATATGGTAGACCTCTGGAGAAAACTGAATGGGGATAGAAAGGAATATACCTCTTTTAGGTGGTACATGGCACCTACACAAAAATTGACCATGGATTAGGGCATAAAAACTTCACAATCCAGTGCAGAAAGGCAGAAATATTAAATGCATCCTTTTCAGATAATGATGCAATAAAAATTATGTGCAAAAAAGAGCCGTGGAAAGATAGACTAAAAATTAATCGGAAGCTAAATAATCTAATCCTGAAACATGAGTAGTCAAACAACAAATCAGAAAGATCAATAATTTTCATCAAAAAGAACGATAATGAGACAATGTACCAAAACTTATGGAATGGGGACAAAGCAGTTCTTAGGGGAAATTTTATATCTCTACATGCTCACATGAATAAAGTAGAGAAAGAGAAGATCAATGAATTGAGCATGCAACTAGAAAAGCTAGAAAAAGAACAAATTAAAAATCCCCAATTAAATACCAAATTAGAAATTCTGAAAACCAAAGGAGAGATTAAAAAAATTGAAATTAAGAAAACTCTTGAACTAATAAATAAAACTAAGAGCTAGTTTTATGAAAAACCAATAAAATGGATAAACCTTTGGTTAATTTGATTAAAAAAAGGAGAAAACCAAATTACCAGTATCAAAAATCAAAAGGGTGAATTCACCACTAGTGAAGAAGAATAGAAACTATTTTGCCCAACTGTTTGCCAATAAATCTGACAATCTGTGGGAAATGAGTGAATATTTACAAAAATACAAATTGTCCAGATTAACAGAAGAGGAAATAAAATACTTAACTCCATTTCAGAAAAAGAAATTGAACAAGCCATCGATGAACTCCCTAAGAAAAAATCTCTAGGGCTAGGTGGATTCACAGATGAACATTTATTAATTTGTTTATTTAAATTAATTAATTAATTTTTAGTTTTCGGCATTCACTTCTATAAGGTTTTGAGTTCTAAAATTTCTCCCCCTCCCTTCTCCCCAAGATAGTGTGCAATCTGATATAGGCTATACATATACATTCATATTAAATATATTTTCACATTGGTCATGTTGTAAAGAAGAATTAGAACCTGTGTACAATGTTCTCCTGGTTCTGCTCACTTCACTCAGCATCAGTTCATGTAAGTCTTTCCAGGTGGCCAAGCATTGGAAATGGAGGGGATGCCCATCAGTTGGGGAATGGCTGAACGAGTTGTGGTATATGAGTGTGATGGAATCCTATTGTTCCATAAGAAATGATAAGCAGGCAGACTTCAGAAAAACCTGGAAAACATTCTGCTGATTCCTTGGCTCTTCTTTTAGGGAGATCCCAATATTCCTGCTGGCCAGCAAACTGTGGAAATTGACCTCATGCATCGAATCCAGCTGCCTGATGTTGAGAACCTACGTAACTTTAATGAGCTCTCTCGTATCATCCTGGAGGTACGAGAACAAGTCCGTCAGGAGCAGCAGCAGCAGGAAGGGCAGGAGGAAGGGCAGGGCCGTGCCCGGCCGAGCACCAGAGAATGTCCACCGGGGCCCGCTCACCAGAAACCAGAGCAGCCTGTGGCCGCTGCCGCTCGGGGTGCTGAAGGAGGAGGTGGGACTGAGAAGAGTGTGGAGGCTGTGGGAGGTGTGTCACGAGCAGCCCCAGAGCCTGCTCCATCCGAGGCTGGGCAGCCTTTTGTGTTACCTGCGGGTGTGATCTCCAGAAACGAAGACTATCCTCGAACATGTCGGATGTGGTAAGAAATGGGGGACCTATCTGGGGATGAGGGTGGGCCAGGCTTTGTCATCTTAGTTGTGAATTGGTAGGCGTGGTGAAGTTCTGCCCTGTCCATTGCATGGTGATTGGTGAGTTTTAGGTCTCCACCATGGGGAGAGCCAGGAGCAGCTGGGGTCAGGTTAGCTCCCTTGTTCTCCAGGTGGGTCTGTGCTTTGGAGGCCTCACGGCAGGACTTGGGGGTGCTTGGGAGAGCACCTGGACATGGGAATTCCCTGCTGCACCCTCTCCTCTCAACAGTGCAGAACAGAGTACCTTGGCATGTGACCTATGGGATCTGCTAACAGATTTCCAGGAGTTAGTCCCTACCTTCTTCCTATCCTCCTGTTTTTCACGTCTCTTTGTGCCCATCTTTGGTACATGAGAAAGTGTTAGCACAGAAGGACCACCAGCGAGGGTTGATTTGCCTCTCTTCTTTTTATTGGCACCAGACTTACACAAGTGCTGTGAAAAGATTTGAGATGATTGCTTTTCCCTGTGTCCCCAGGATGGACTCGTAGCCTAGCCAGGCCTTTCAGCTCATTCTCTAGCACATGTTTCCTAGCTGAGAACTTACCTTCTTCTTTACTGTGTCTTGACCATGGCCACTGCCTTCAATCAGTATTTCTGCATGCTGGTCATGATGAGTCCCCACAGTGCAGGTCGTTGATGCAATAGATTGGTTCTAGAGCTTTTTTTTAAACCTTTGAGGGGTTAGGACTTCATTATTTTCTTTATGTTCAAATAGTATGCACTCAGTAAATAAATTTTTAAATCTCAAAAACAGCATAAAGTGAAATTAATTATCTTAACAGATACAAAATGAATGGAGTATTGTTAATCCATGAGAGTTATCAGAATCAACTTTCTCTGTGCAGTCAGACTATTAAGTAAAGATCAAAATCCGCATCCAATTCGAAGGATAAAGAGAACACAACACTGAAAAGTTACAGGAGCTTCAGCCTGAACTATTCACATGAGTTGTTTGATACTGAAAAAAAAAATACTGGAAATGGAAAAAGGCAAAGCTATTGACCTTGTTTGTCACCATTTCCAGCAAAAGCTTAAGTTGCTGTAAGGCAGTTACCTCAACAAGAAGGACAGATGAACTCAGAAGCCTCTTTAAAGCACAAACACTTCCTCTCCTTGCCAAGCGTAGAGCCATGGCAGCCAAGGACAACACTGGTTTAGAAATTTATTTGTAAAACACCATAGGGGAGAATGGGAAAAGATTATGAGTGATACCCCCTCAAAAGAGCAAACGGCAGTGGAAGCCCAAGCAGATCTACAGAAAACTTGGCTTGAGACCCAGGTGAGCCCTGTCGTCCTAGGAGTGTTCACAGATGAAAAGGAATATGGGATCCATTGTTGTACTCTCCACAGTTATTATGTGTAGACATTTTTTTTTCTTCTGATAGAAGGTAAGCTCTTTGAGAACAGAGGTTGTTTCATTCTTTACATTTACATTCCTGTGCTTAACAGTTCCTGGTACATTGTTGGAGCTTGATCAACTCCTTGATTTATTGTAAACATTCTCTATGTACTTGCTGTTGGTTAATGCTTAGGTTCTAATATATTACTATTATTTCAGTAGTAATTAGGTTTAGCAAAGACAAAGGCGAGAAAAAAAGACTAAAGCATTAATATGCATGTAAGTGACTTCATTACTAGAAAAGACCACTGTCACCTAATGTATTTTCTCTTTGCTGTGAGCTGGGTCTTTTTTACATGAGAGTGGCTTGTTATATTGGTATGATGCCTGTTGTTAGAGGCCACAGTCCTTCAGACTTCCCTCGTGTGGAAAACACAGCTCCCTTTTGGCATGGTCATTCCTGGTGTTTCTCAGATTTTTAAAAAACAGGTTTACCTAAAGGCAGTTTGAGTTTGACTAAAATTCAAATATTTTCTTCCCTCTCCCAGAGCATTGTTTGTGTACCTTTAAAAGACTTCTCTCATTCTCCCTTTTCTTTTTTCCCTCACTGGCTCTTCCTTTTCTCTCCCCTTAGTTTCTATGGCACAGGCCTGATAGCAGGCCACGGCTTCACTAGTCCGGAGAGGACTCCAGGCATCTTCATCTTGTTTGACGAGGATCGCTTTGGCTTCATCTGGCTGGAACTGAAATCCTTCAGCCTCTACAGCAGGATCAAGGCCACTTTCCAGAATGCTGAGCCCCCTTCCCCAGAGGCTTTTGATGAAATGCTCAAGAATATTCAGTCATTGACAACTTGATGGTCTACTTCTCCTCAAAGAGAGAGGCTCACTGGAAGGGAATATCTCAGCTCCTTTGTCTTCTGGAGGATGAGATGAGACTTGCAGACATTGGTATCTATGACTCAAAGCAGCATGCACTTTTGAAATAAGGCCTTTTTACCAAAATGCACACTTTATTGTCAAAGGAGTATACACTCACGCACCCTTCCTTGAAGTCCTTTATATGTAGTGTGTAATATAGACCTGTATATTTGCCAGTAACCTTTGGAGAAGAACATTGAGCATGTTGCCACTTAAACATACAGAACAAAGCTAAATCAAAACAAGACCGAGAGGATCTGTTAGATTGAGGGGGATGAGCCTGGCTTTGGCTTCTGGCAGCTTTCTGGGGAAAACAGGGAAGTTTGCACTTTCGTGTCAGAAATCTCTTTGACATACATGCTGATGAGTCTTGTTGTAGTCAGTAGAGAATGGATCAGAAAACGGATGTCTGATGGCCATTCTGCCTGGGATCAAACAACAAAGCTAATGACTCGTAGAGCTGAGGGGATGGGGCAGGCTGTCTGGAGCTGGATTTCCTTGGAAGACAAGAATATGAATTATTCAGCTTGGGTGTGTCCCTTTCTAGTAAGTAGAACCCATCAGGAGACAGTGAAGTCCAGTGGCCAGGATGCCAGCCTTGGAGTTTGGAAGCCTGGGCTGCCTTCCCGGTTCTTCTGCTGACTCATTTAGACTTTGGACAGAGCACTTAACCTCCAGCCTGAGCGTCTCCATTTGTAAAATGAAGCTGATGGTACTTGCCACTTGAATGTCAGAGTGCTCTGGGATTCTTGGAGGATAGAGCCTGTTACCCCTCTTCCTGTGACCCACAAAGCTTGCCTTGTACTCTGTATCATCCATATGCTAGTTCAGATGCCCATCTTCGCAGCTCACTTCCATGTCAGTGTCTGTAAAAAGCTAACACTGCATTCATTTTTATGTGTGCCGTGCTTTATACAACTGTGTTGTGATAGGTATGAGACTTTAGGCCAGATAATTCTCTGAGTACAAGGTGTAAGGGATATTACCTAGGGATTTGCATCTTAGACAACCAGGTCACAATCACTTAAAATTGTAACCTATTTAGATTGGTGCTAGTTGCGACTAAAGTTGTTTAGCAGTCGAAATGGATGCTCCTCAAAGGCCTTTTGTCTGTATTCGAATTAAGTCTTAAGGTTTGAGAAACCTTGCCCCAAAGCATACTGAATACTCAGTGAATTACAGATAGTGAGTACTATTTATCACCTGAGCATTCTTTACCATCATGGACATTTGGTTGTGGATGGTATATCTCATGATAGAGTAAATGTTTGTCCATTTTCAAGATCCTATTTTAATATGGCCATTATTTTTACTGTTTTATTAAGACCCATGACTAAATTGCAGAATTTACATTTGCTTTCTGGAATTATTTTTCAGCCTTTTCTTTTGCCTTGATGTAGCCAAGCAGGGCTTTTTCCTATGTTGATAAGACTCTTGTAGAGAGTGCGCATTTTTTTTTTTCTTCTTTTCTGTGTGTGGCACATGTGGTTGGTACTAGTTCTCTCTGATCACTTTGGCCAGTTTCTTCCATTTGGCAATTGGATATGGTGGAAGAGGTGGTGGTTTGCTGGTATCTTTGCTGAGGAATGATTAGACCCTTGCCTTAGATTTCCCATGAAACCCCTCCATGTTTCTGTTCATTTGGTGATAGCTCCTGACTGGCATTTTTCAATCTGAAACAAGACTGTTCCAGATTTAGTATCCTGGGCACTGCCCTGAATCACCTCATCCTTTATTTTTCTTAGATTCTCATAAAACTCTGAGAGTTGTGTATTGAAAAGCTATTTTGAAGAGCCCTTCTTTGCTCCTGAAGAGAGCACTGGTGGTCGCTTGATAGAGTGTGTGCTGAGATGCATAAGAACTAAGTACCACTGGTTATCTTTGCCACCCAGGAGTTTAAAAGCACGTTTCTCTAATCACAGAATCTGATTCTTCTTCCACTAAGCAGAGGGGTGAAGCCTGCAGCAGAAATGAAATGTTTTGCACCAGATATTTTTGTTCTTTGCTTGACAAGACTGACTATAAGAAATGCCTTAGCATCTCTCTCATCCTGACGCTTTGGGCAATGATTTTGGAGAAAGTAAAAAGCTAAGGGTAGTTGAAGGTGCTAGTTGTATGTACCTCTTGGGTTTCTTTCAGCCTTGTTTCAATAAATTCACTGAAAGGTATTTTTGAATAAGACACTTATATCTGACGCTAGTAGATTGCTGACTCCCTCAGAGTCATTACTGCAATATACTGTTGGTACACCCTTGGGCCTTTTCTATTCAGGGCGACAGCATTAACACAAACCCTTTATAATGTACGTTCTGTTCTCTGCCTCTTTGGTTTGTGTCAATAAGGGAGTCCCTTGACCATTTATTAAAATATCTTGGACTGTGAATCTCTGCTTTGGCAGAGGAACAGCTTGTGTTGGGCTGTAGGGAATGCTGTGGTCATGGAGGGTAGGTGTTTGCTGCAGGAAGGCTCAGGTGGGCCACCACCTTCCAAGCTGGTATTTTTCCACAGGGGCTGATCTGCACTAACTGTTGAGGAGGCTTTGGTTTCTCAGAAGCTATTCTTTTTTTTTTTTTAAAGGCAGTTGGAGTTAAGTGACTTGCCCAGGGTCACACAGCTAATAAGTGTTAAGTGTTTGGTCTGAGGCCGAATTTGAACTTAGGTTCTCTTGACTTCAGAGCTGGTGCTCTATCCACTGTGCCATCTAGCTGCCCCAGAAGCTATCCTTTTGATTATTATGTTCTTCTGTCATTCTTTGATTCCAGGCTAGATCAACGTAAATGGGAAATTGCAAAAAAAAAAAAAATTACATGTGGAGAGTATTATACCTGTAAGTTTCCTAGTGAGGAGGAGAGAGAAATTCATACCAGAAGGTCCATTATGGCACAGTAGTTTAATTACACTAATTTTGAAATTTGTGGTTAGCTTTTCTTTTTGTTGAGGGGAGAATTTGATCCAGATTGCCAACAAAAGCCAGAACATTGGTGATCAAACAGTTGACAGGAATTTCAGTTTTCCTGTGGAGAAACTAGGACAGACAGCACTGTCTGCAGCATGCAGTTCTATTTATGGTGAGGTTGAAATCCTCCATGGGATCACATGGTGTGGCTTCAGTGTTTGGTTTCTGGGCAAGTTAGTGGTTCCATCTGAAGAGCCTCTTGGCTTCTTTTTGCATCAGTGATTACTTTTATTTGCAAACTCTGTCCTTTTTGCAGCATAGTGATAGATTCGAGTAGTATGGATTTACTGTAAATTTCTTGATACTTGAACACAGTCCATTTTCGGTTATTCTCTTGGGGTTTGAGAGGTGATGTGATCCAACCTGACCAGCCATTACTGTTTTTTCTGCCTATGGGACATGAATGGAAATGTTGAATTTAGCATGTAGGTTCCATGACAGTGGTTTGCGAGGATATCACAGCTTGACCTGTTGGGTCCGTACTTGGAATGGAAACATGGATAGCATTTGTACCAAGGGTAATTTAAGGGGGGATGGTTGGGCAGCAGTCTTCCCACCTCTCCACTGAACTTTGTGCCCATTTTCGATCCCTGCTTTCCAGTCTTCTAGAAGCTCAGATGATTTTATCAACCCTTCTCTTCCCTGTTCCTTCCCCTTACTCAGACTTTGAAATGTTGCCTTAAATTGTGATAAATCTGCTTGGCAAGTTTGGAGAGGAGGGTTGAGCAGTGTTCTAGAATGGTTTCCACCCATTCCAGAAATAGCCCTGCTTCATCTTATACAATTCCTTGAGAGCTTGGGAAAAGGGCCTGTTTGGTTATGAGTATAGGGTTATGTGTCTAGGTGTTTTCTTTTCCATCAAGTCTCCTGGGGCTGGGGTGGGGAGTGGGGCAGTTGTTGAGGTCCACCAGGAAAGGTCTGTCTTGGTACCAGGACATTTATGCAAAGTCATGATTGTTGGGAGCCAGTTTTCATTGTCAGGATTAAATGAGGTAATATGTGTAGAGTGCTTTGTAAGCCTTAAAGTGCTATAAAAATGTTAGCTCTTGTTTCATGCATGGCCCAGGTGTCTCTGTGATTCATCTGCCTTCTGTGCTTCATCATTTCGCCACCTTTCTTCTTGTTAGTAGTTAGGAAGAAACAGAGAAGAGGTGAAACTTAGGCCTGCTTCTCCTTGGGGGATGTGTCTATGTTCATATGGTAGGGGAGTGTCTTGGGAACTAGCCAGAGTTAGGCTTTTGGATTATCTTGAGTTCATTTGTCCTCTTGTCATGCATAGCTGAACTAGCTGTCTGGTATGGTAGTAGTAGTATTAAGATGCAAACTGCTAAAGAAATTGTTGGCCCACTTGACTTATGAAATTATCAAAATCATTTCTAATGGTGTGTCCCCTAACAGTGTCCTAGATTTAAAAACTTCTCAGGAGAATATTGTCATCTCCCTCTCCTGGGTGAGGAGATAAGGTGCTGTCTCTCTCTTCCCTTCTCTTCCACCTAGTTCTCTAGTTAATTCAGGGGTTCTTAAGTCTTTTGGTGTCATGGACCCTTTTGACAATGTGGCCGAGCCTATGGACTTCTGCTCAGAATAATATTTTATTACCCATACCCATAATTAGAGGAAATGCTAAATATCACTTGAGAGATTAGTGAAGATAAAGATGTAATTTTTTTCCCTTCCAAGTTCATAGGCTCCCTGAAATCTATTCACAGACCCGAAGTTAAGAACCCTCCCTGAGTATTGACAGCACACTTAATACAGCCAACTTATTTGTCTTTCTGAGGCAAGTAACTCATAATTGTATGTTCAAAGATATGTTAGAAGAAGGTAATAGATGATGTAGGTTGGAATGCCACTGTGAGTGATGGTGGGTTTTGTTCTAAATTATTACATAGGTGTAATTTGTCTTAAATTTTTACAAAATAATTACAAATGTACAGCATTTTCAGCCATCAAGGGAGAAAAAAAGCTGAGATATTTTTAAGAGAGGCATTTGGATGCATAGAAATTGGCACTTTTAAGAACTAGCTGGTACTTCTAACTCTCAGAACTGAACACCAGTTTATAAGGAGGGCCACCAAAAGTCAAGGTTTATGAATTTGGTTTCTTTGTTGACATAGTGAAGGTAAAGTTGTTAAAATTGGTTTGTTTGACAGGTATCCTACATTAAAGACTTGGTATGGTGAGGGAAGTGAAGTAGCCTTGGGAGGGAAGGAGGAGGAAATAGCTCATTGGTCTTTCTTTAAATTCCTTGATTTGTAGAAAATCTTGAAATTGAAGGCATTGTCCAGCATCATTTAAAATCCTGTAACCAGTCTACCTAGCCAGGTCAGGACTTGTTTTTACAAGGAAATAGCTCTTTGGTCTTTCCTTAAAGTCCTTAATTTGTAAAAAATCCTGAAACTGAAGGCATTGTCCAGCATCATTTAAAACCCTGTAACCAGTCTACTTAGTAGCAAGGTCAGGGCTTGTTTTACAAGGAGGTTCCCTCTGGCCAGAGCAGCACTCATTTGGCCATGGATTTCTCCATGTCCTCCGTGATGAGGAATTTTGTGTGTGTGTGTGTGTGTCTGTGTGGAGAGTGTGTGTGTGCGTGTGTGTGTTGGGGAGAACTTTCTGGATTCATTGAGCTTCTGTACTTTTTACATTAGACTGTTGTTATGTGGGGAGATGTTTGATTTTTTTCCCTTTTCAGTTTTCAATAAATGAATTTTAAACACCTTGTTGGGTACTTTGTGATTTGGGAGCTATGTGACATCACAATAAAAATGTGTTCAGAATGCTGCAGCCTGATGAATCAAGTAAAGAATGTTACTTGACCTGGGAGACATACTCAGTTACCTCTTTTTAAAAAAAATTATTGATATTTTTTGTTTCTATGTTACCTAAATTATCTCCTGTACCCTTTTCCTTCATCCTTCTCAGAGAGTTGTCCTTT